CTGACATTTGACAATGTCACTTTGACGGGGTGCCATTGACGTTTACGTCACTCTGACACAACTCCGGGCTCTTTTGTGTGTGATGAGGCAATAGGAAGAATCCGTTGACATCTCGAAAAATACAAGGCGTGCCCGGTGGAGTGTCGTTGCTAATTAAAATAACCATAGTGTAGATTATAATAGTGTCCATCTTTTGTTAATATCAATATAAGAACAGTTGATTCGAAAAGTAGTTTTAGTTCTCCTCGCCCGCTTACCCAATCGCTCGGCAACGATTAGAGACGATGACGGATGAGAATAATGATATTGTGCCTTTATCAGTCGTGGGATCTGAAGGGCTTACTTCAGAGGAGAACAGATCTTCAGCACCGATACCAGAGCAAAGCCTGTCGCAACAAATGGAATTGTTTTTAACACGGATGTTGGCATTACAACAGCCGCAACGTGCTAGCAGCGTGTCCATCCAGCTGGTTGAGTTTAACCCTGACGACGAGGAAGCGGACATTGAAGGTTGGTGCAACGTAACGGATATCATAATCAAAGACCGTAATTTGGAAGGCGCAGACCTGTTAGTGTTACTAACAAGGGCACTAAAAGGTCGAGCTACTACTTGCTTAACACGACTGCAAGCATCGCAACTGACATGGCCGCAAATAAAGGAACTGTTGCTCGCAAAGTTCGCCAAACCCATGATGCCACAAGATTATTTTGATCAAATTTTACGTTTTCAAGTTGGCCCAAAGGAAACTGCGACAGAGGCTGCTATACGCCTTTGGAACATCATCGGACGAATTCCGCGGATGGAAATGCCTGAAGATATTATTACAGGATTCGTAACATCAGTTTTATGTCAAAAGGACGCACTAATTCGTCGAGAGCTCCAATCTTATAGCCCCACTACTAGATCTCAACTTCTGCGAATCCTAAATGGAATTTCACTAAAACGAAAGCACGAAGGCAATGATATTGATCCAGATGCGAAGAAGAACCGATTCAACGATGTGCGCTTTACGGGAACATGTCACCGCTGTGGTACTTCAGGTCACAAGGCTGTTGATTGTCGCAGACGGAAAGAAGAGCCTACTCCTTCGGATAAGACACGCAATACAGTGTCCCGAGGCGCTGACAAACCAATCACCTGCTTCGTGTGTGGTCGACCAGGGCACATAGCGTCGGCGTGTCCAGATCGAGCGGGACGCAACGGAGCGGCGGCGGTCAAAGAGGTTCATGTTTGTGAACGCAAGGCATCGAGAAGCACACTGACTACATCATCTGGTGAGCTAGTTTCCTTTCTCTTTGATAGTGGATCTGCTTGTTCATTAGTATCCAAAAGCTACGCCGATAAGTTCCCTGGTACTGCACAGCGTGAATTAGTTTATCTGACGGGCATTGGTAACGGTGAGGTGGAATGTGTTTCTCAGGTTGTTAGTTCCGTTAATGTCCAAGGCCTTTTGCTCTCAGTTTTGTTTCACATAGTACCCGACGGCACTATCATTGAACCAGTAATAATAGGTAGGGATATATTAGAAGACAACGTGCACGTGCAGATAGGTAACGAACAAATTACTTTTTCTCGATACAAAAATGTTAGTTTAGCCGAGTCTAGCGGTTTTAATTTTACGAATATTGATACAGATCTACAAGGCGATGACAAATTGGCTTTGGTTAGGATTTTAGAGAAATATAGTGAGTTTTTCATCGACAATATACCAACGCGACGAGTTACAACGGGCGTTCTCCGAATAGTCCCCATTGACCCAGATAAAACGGTACAGAGGCACCCATATAGGTTAGCACCCGCAGAAAAAGAAATAGTCAATGAGAAAATAGAGTCGTTATTAAAAGCGAACGTTATTCGAGAAAGTAACTCTCCTTTTGCAAGTCCCATATTATTGGTTAAAAAGCATGACAACACTGATAGGATGTGCGTAGATTATAGGGAACTCAATGCCAATACACGACCCGAGCATTATCCGTTGCCCCGCATTGACGAACAAATTGATCGACTCCATGGCGCGCACTATTTTTCCTCATTAGATATGGCGTCGGGCTACCATCAAATACCGGTAGATCCCGATAGCATAGCGAGAACGGCATTTGTGACGCCGGATGGCCAATTCGAATATTTAACCATGCCGTTTGGCTTACGGAATGCCGCCTCCGTGTATCAGAGGTGTATTAACACAGCTCTCGGGCCCTTAAAAGACAAGGTAGCGCTAGCGTATATGGACGATGTCATGTGTTATTCGAATGACGTCACTACTGGGTTAGAACGTTTAGACCGAACTTTGAAAGCTTTATCCGATGCAGGTTTTTCATTAAACATCAAGAAATGTAAGTTCATGAAAAACAAAATAGATTACCTCGGCTATGTCATAAAAGCAGGAGAAGTAACACCAAACCCTAAAAAAATACAAGCTTTGATTGATGCTCCGACTCCAAAAACAGCTACACAAGTTAGGCAGTTTTTAGGCCTGGCGTCTTATTTCAGGAGGTTTATACCAAATTTCACTCGTTTAGTAGGACCTCTTTATCCGCTAACGAAACTAAAAGGGCCTATCAAATGGACAGAATCCCACAACGACATTCACAAAAAGATCGTTGATATACTTACCTCAGAGCCGGTGTTAACAATATTTGACCCGGACTCCCCCATTGAGCTTCACACTGATGCGAGCTCCGGAGGCTACGGGGCTATACTTATCCAAAGAAAAAATAATGCTCCTCATGTTGTGTCTTACTTCAGTCGTCGGACGTCTGATACAGAATCGAGGTATCATTCATACGAGTTGGAGACCCTTGCGGTAGTTCGCGCGGTTGAGAACTTTAGGCACTACTTGTATGGCCAGCGTTTCACAGTATTCACCGACTGTAACTCCTTAAAATCATCTAAGACAAAAACCGATCTAACTCCACGCGTACACAGATGGTGGGCTTTCTTGCAGGCGTACGATTTTGACATAGTCCATAAACAGGGCATTAGTATGGGCCATGCCGATTATTTATCTAGAAATCCTATCTCAGAACCCATATCTAGTGTGCAAGAATTGGATGATCTGAATGAATCAAAGAAAAGGAATAAGGAAGTTCACTTTGTAGAGTTACATCAGGGTTGGTTAGCTGTAGAACAAAAGCGCGATAGCGAAATATGTGACCTTATCAGTAAATGTGAAAACAATGAGTTGCCCGAAGCGATTGCACACACTTATGACGTGCGGAAAGGTGTACTCTACAGGAAAATAGAACGCAATAGAACTAGCTTGTGGTTACCAATTGTTCCCAGATCTCTTACATGGACACTTATAAATCATGTCCATTCAGAGATAATGCATCTTGGGGCCGATAAAACACTTAACAAAATATACGAACAGTACTGGTTCCCACAAATGGCCAAGCAGGTGCGTAAGTTTGTAGACTCATGCATAGTATGCAAAGCTTCCAAGGGATGTTCAGGAGCGCAGCAAATTAGGCTCCATCCAATACCCAAAGTGTCCACGCCTTGGCATACAGTACATATAGACATTACGGGCAAACTAAGTGGTAAGAGCGATAAGAAAGAATACGTATCTGTAATTATAGATGCTTTCACCAAATATGTCCTCCTAGAATATACACCGTCCCTCGATGCCGCAAGCGCAATTCAATGCCTCAAAAAAGCAGTTTGTCTATTTGGTTCTCCAAAGCGTATAATAGCAGACCAAGGAAGATGCTATATTAGTGCAGATTTCAAACGGTTTTGTGGCGAACACGGTATAGACCTTCACCTTATCTCCACAGGCGCCAGTAGAGCGAACGGTCAAGTTGAACGCATAATGCGTACCTTGAAATGTCTGCTTACAATAGTAGAAAATGACCCAAACAAAACGTGGCGAGATGAACTCCCCGGAGTTCAACTTGCGTTGAATAGCACCAGGTCCAGAGTAACGGGATACTCTCCCACGGAGCTAATGTTCGGCATACAAGCGCAATCATTAGGAATATCAACTTTGTCCACACATGCGGAACCTGAGCCCCGTTTAGATTTAGACATTATACGACATAAGGCTTCGGAAAATATCAAAAAGGCAGCTTCGTCAGAAGAAAAGCGCTTTAATCAGGGTAGAGCAAAAGTGAAACCATTCAATGCAGGCGACTTTGTCTTTATCAAAGGTAGTGAGCGTAACCAAACTAAACTACAGCGTAAGTTTAAGGGTCCTTTTATTATAGTTAGGGTATTAGATCACGATAGGTATGAGCTGCGAGACATTGACGGATCAAAACGAACATACAAATACGCTCATGAAAAGTTACGTGCAGTGCCCGGCGGCTATGGTGGTTTGGTTGAAGTAGCTACTTTCTTAATTCATAATGAAGAAGAGGCCGAGACGGCGGCAGTCCATTGTCATGAGAATGGAATGGCAACAACGGATGATGATAGTGATACAGTGTCGGTATCTAGTTTACACACGTTGACCGCCAGCTCTGACACCCTCTCTGCCTCTGAACATGAAGAATAAGATTAACGGTGAGTATATGTATGTGCAAACTTTGTTTTTCTGCTGATATTAGATCAAGTTACTGGTTAGGCAGTTAATTGCAAAGTTGATCAATTGGGCTGGCCTAAACTAGGTCGATGCTCATGGCCAGAGTATGTTTTCTCATGTGTTATACGCTGTAGATGATCTGTAGGGCTGGCCTATCATGGGTCGACGCCCGAAGTCAAACTACGACCTAATGAATGTGAGTTATGTGGGTTGACGTTTTGGACCAGTTGATTGTAGCAACTGTGTGTGGTTTTCGTGGCTGGTGGAAGGGACGCTGACTGGTTGTCCGGTTCATCTCATCATGTGACTTGGTGAGGTGATCGAAGGGACGCTTGGGGTCTGTTGTCCGCCCAGTGCGGTGGCATTGTTGGTGTGGGCGAGAAAAAGGTTGAAATTTCTGGTGTTTAAGGGACATATTGGGGTAGTTGGCCAGGATGGTCGAGCAGGTCTAGTCGTGTACTACAGTTGTATTGTGTCTTTCAGGTAACCCAGGGTGTGTACTGTCGCACGAGGACGTGCGAATGTCAGTCCGGCCGTGACGGCGCATCGCCGTTTAAGAGTGTCTAGAAACGTCAACTGTCATCTGACATTTGACAATGTCACTTTGACGGGGTGCCATTGACGTTTACGTCACTCTGACACAACTCCGGGCTCTTTTGTGTGTGATGAGGCAATAGGAAGAATCCGTTGACATCTCGAAAAATACAAGGCGTGCCCGGTGGAGTGTCGTTGCTAATTAAAATAACCATAGTGTAGATTATAATAGTGTCCATCTTTTGTTAATATCAATATAAGAACAGTTGATTCGAAAAGTAGTTTTAGTTCTCCTCGCCCGCTTACCCAATCGCTCGGCAACGATTAGAGACGATGACGGA